GTTAGGCTGGGGTTCCCCCTCAAAATTCCTACCAGACCTAAAGGGCCTGGTAGGGATTTTGGGGGGAACCCCACGCAGTTTTTTTTTGTTTTAACTTGGTTGGAATCCCTCCCAACATTCCTGCCAAACCTAAAGGGCCTGGCAGGAATGTTAGGTATGAATTGGGGGAGACCCTCAGGCTTTTTTTTTTCCTCTTCTGCAGACTGTAAAAAAATTATTTTATTTTTTTTCTCAAATGTCACTTTGCTGGAACGAACAAACGAAAACGAAACGACAATTCGTACAGACTACCGCTAACGAATTTCGTCCAAATCCGAATCCCGAAACAATTTGACTTTCGGACCCAAATCCCGAAAAACAAAATAACGCAAAATCCGAATTAAAACGAAACAAAACTAATTTTTATATATATCTATTGTCCATTGCCCAAACACATTATGCTGGAAGGGTTCCCTCCTTTCCATCTCAGAAAGTTGAGAGGTATGCAATAACCACCAGGACAGATAGAGAGGGTGACTCTCCCCAGCAGGGGCAGCAATAAAAACCAGACTGGGGTTCTAGCCTTTCCAAGCCATCTACATGGACGACAGTTTGGCTTTAGATGCACTTTAAAGAGAAACTTCAGTCATTTAACCCATTTAACTGTCATTCAGCCAGAAGAGGACCACCGGTGCTGGGCCAGGAAGGAAACAAAGGACATTGCTGGAGCATGGAGAGGGTGAGCAGATCTGAGTATTTGTTTTTTTTATTTAACACAGGCTGAAGGACTAAAAATGAATAGAAAATGAAAGTGGAGTTACACTTTAAGCTCCTCCACTCAGAGCTCTTTCTCAGCTGGACACCCTGGCCCACGGTAGACCAGCTTCTCCTGTGCTTTTCTGTTCTATCATAACACATAGGGAACCTCAAAATGCATTTGGTATGTTATGCAGAAAAAAAAAGCAAAACTGTTCCAGTTAATCTGTGGGAGGAGACTTTACTGTAACACGAAAGTAAGCTGGTTTTCTTTCACTTTCCTGTTTTTTTCCCAGGCGAAGGCAAGAGAAAGACACAAACAATTATCCTGAGCAGAAGACCTCGCAGTTCTGCACATTATCCATATCCTGAAGGTAAGCTTTTCATATCTGTGCATATTGTGCTGGGTGTTTTGTATATATTTATATCTCTTTATGTTTGGTGTGACTGTATACGTATATGTTGTCTGTTATTGGAAAAACCCAAACAGCAATTCCTGATGCTGCAACTTCATGATTAAAGTTTGCAGACATGGTCAAGAGGTTCAGCTCATGTTTGGCCAATCATTTGGTTTGGGAAGATACATGATCTAAGCCACTTTGATCGTGGAATGATTGTTGGTGCCAGACGTGGTGCTTGCAGCATGTAGGAAACTTCCATCCTTCTAAATTTTTACCCCCAACAGTCTATAGAGTTTACTGTAAATTTGTGAAGTGAATTGAAAAACATCATAGCATTCCAAATTAGTTTCTCAAGCCCTAGTAACTCTTCTTTTCAAGTAAAAAATGATGATATGACTTATTTATTTAGCCCATCCCTCTTCTGAGTGCAGCGGCCATGTTTCCTTGGCCGTGGTGGTGGGCTGCCCAATAATGTCAGAGACAGCTAATGTTCCCCATCTGTGTGCCAGTGTACCATTCTATACTCCTACAGGCTTTTGCAACAGGGCTGGGCAAGGGGAGGGATGACAAAGCTGTGCAAGGACGGGCACAGCATTCTGTAACTCCGATTAGCTAGATCCGGCACGCAAACTGACCACGCCAGCATGTATCTGCCTCTGTGCTTGGCGTGGTTATAGTTAGAACGACAAGGGAAATTGCAGAATCACCAGGTATTACATAGTAAAAGGGACTGTAGGGACACCGGATGCAGCATGTCAGTGACAGTTTACTATAAAAAGAATGCATTAAAGGCATATTCCACTTTTGTAAAAGAATGAGTAATGCACTCATATCGCAAACATTTTAAATATTCATTTATAATTTTTTTCTATGTGGGCCTGTAAAACTTTTCAACCACGGTCAGTGGATTGCGGATTCAATGCACAGGTTCCTGCAGACTTCTCCTCCAGCCCCAGGTCTCTACATGGGCTCAGAATAGCACCATGTTCCATGTTATATCCTAAATGTGGGTGTAACATAGAGCATGGTGTCGAAAGTGAAACAAATCTTTAATGGTAGTTCAATTTTCCTTCAATTCCTGCTAGAACATGAAGTCATAGGAAATTGCTCCAATGTCATAACAAAAAGA